GCACAACATTTTCATTTTATCGATTATTTTAAGTGACAATAATTACTTTCATGTTTCGCTTATCTTTAAGATTCTTTGTATTTCATTTAAGTTGATTTTGCACGTTTCTCCTATTAAAATATTTTCTTAAATTTCATTACTTTCTTTATTAAAATATATAGAATGCATTATCGATCAAAGTTGTTTGAATAGAAAAGTATGTATAAAATTTGTACTTGTACTACGGATTTAATGAGGTTTGACACCAACCGTAGTTATTCGCCCTAAGAAATTTGTCAAAAATAAGGGCAGATTTCACTACAAAAATGGAATGGAATTAACAGTTTTTGGATGTATAAAATCATAAACATCAAAAAATCAAAAATTCAAAAAACCAAACTAAGAATTAAACGGTTGAAATATATTATATATATTTAGGTATCTTATTCAGTTGGAAAATAGTGAAAAATTTTTAAGAAATAAAATATTTTTAAATTTATGCTGTCCTTTTTGCCTTAACTCCAAAATTCAGTGAATGCATAAATGTGCTATCCATAAACAGTGTTGAAACATTCATCCTTATGGGTGTATGTAAGAAGTACCGCACATTTCATCAAAATTCGGTACCGAACTTTACAACATTCGAAAGAGGGTAGTTTTTGCTCTTTATGCTTTTTTGTCTCATTTGTTTTTGTATGCTTTTCAGATTTGGAATAAAGAGATTTGGTAATAATATTGCAAAAATGATTTTGCCGGCTTTGATGAAACCAGACATACACAAGTGAATAAATCAATTAGGTACAGAAGAGTGGAGCAGAATTAATCAGACATTTACAACTCCAAGTTTTTTATTTTTTCATTAATGATATAAAAATGTTTTGAATATATCGGATATTTAGAGAAAATATAAATCTATTTTTTACTTCATGAATAGTAACAAAAAGAAATCTACGGCAGGACAAGAGGATGATATATATACCAGACATAATTGACTTCATAGTGCCTGTCACACTAAAAGTGTCTGTTTGTACAAATTTTAATTAAAGCATATTTAAAATTAGTGTAATAGTATTTAATATTTAATATTCAAATATTTGTATAGAAAAGTAGTTATTAGTATAAGAAAATTTAATATTATATACTTAAATACTAAAATAATTCTAATTAAGTTCGTGTGCGAGTACGAGTAAATGGAGTTGCACTTATGTAAATATTTATTTATTCATTTATTGCACTTATTTATTATTTTTTCGTTAAAAGTTTTCAAATTTATGTATTTATGTATTAAACATCTTATAAACTTCTTACAAGGGGAATACCCAACTTACCTAATTTTTGACTAATTTACCCTACTCAAAATTCTGGTAAATGCCAACATTGGCTCCCATATCGACATAATTTACTATTTCCCTTCATTTACCATCACTTTACTCGAACTCGCACACGGCCTAAAGAGGTGAACAATACATACAATATTTAATAAATTATTATTTAATTCGTTTTTAAATATTGTTTACATTAAAAATTTGTTCCTTAAGGTTTAAAGTTAAGGTATTTACTTAATTAATAATTTAACTCTTAAAATCCTCTTTGATGCAATGTACAAACTTTATGGAAATCATATAACCTCATACATCATTACAACATACTTACGTGATTTTTGTTTTATTTTAAGCTTAAAGTTTTTGTTAAAAAAATAAATATTTTATTAAGAACCTCACATTCTGATATTAATGTTTACAAAACAAAACAAATTACTACATATTTTATTAAATATGATAGCTTAAATGCGTTAAAGTTTTTTTTTTGTTTTTGTTCTTTCGCTGGCGGCTCTGAATTGACTCTGAAAGTCTCATTTTAGTATTTTATTACACTGCACGCCAAAAGCTTAGCATCATTCACTTTTTAGGAAAAGGTAATTTAATAATGGTCAATACTCTTACGAATGTTTAACATACAAGGCAAAATTAACAGTTACTCATTTAAAAATATAAGTGAACCTAAATATAAATTAGCTTTATAGGTCATAGTAATAAATAAATTATAATTATGACTATGATTTATGTTATGTATTATTTTTGGATAATCTGTATTGCTGATTTGTGAAAATATTACTTCATTATTTTACGGTACGTTATATTTTCGCACAAAGAACAATAAAAAAATCTTTGACAATATTTATTAGTTAAATTACTAGTTAAGTTATATATATGGTCATAGTAATAAATAAATTATAATTATGACTATGATTTATGTTATGTATTATTTTTGGATAATCTATATTGCTGATTTGTGAAAATATTACTTCATTATTTTACGGTACGTTATATTTTCGCACAAAGAACAATAAAAAAATCTTTGACAATATTTATTAGTTAAAT